ATTGACAGAGTATATGGAACAGTGAAGCTGGAAACCATTTATCTTTCAAATTATCTAAACATATTCTTCCCACCGTGCCTACTTTAGTTGTTATGTTTGGGTCATAGCAGATTCTGTACAGGCCTCTGTTGATATTTTTTCTGAAAATACTTAATATTTTATTAGGTGTCCCTGAGGAGGAGAAAACCATCAGAAAGACTCTCAGATTCCCATTCTATCTTGACAAGTACAGGAGTGGATTTTCAGTGGCAATTACGTACTCAGGGGGTAGGGAAGGGTCACAGCTTATGTCCAAAACATCAGGCTGATCCTGGCCTTGTGCAAAGATTACTGGTATGCCATTTGCAAAACTGTGTCTTTCATGAATCCAGATTTGTATAGGATGTCTTTGTGTGGCATTTCTAACCCCAATTCAGTTGCAATTTCATCATCCCTTGAAGGAGAGACATCATTGCATCATAACTGGTCAGTGTGAAAAAAAAAAAAAACATACATTTTGTCTTGAAATACACAAACTAGAAACACTGAAACATAGTTTATGAAAGGGATTGACAACTTCCACCATAAATTCCAAAGATAAATTGCGGACAGAGTTTCAGAGCTAGGATCTGGAAGCCATGGCACTGAGATGCAATACTTCCCAGTTTTGGAGCCCACTAGAATAGCTGAGAGCTATTGCGACACAGAGGCAAAACAGAATATTATTTATTATCTCCTTGATATTTCTGTTATGCCTTCTTTGCAAGGATCTCAGACAACTTCACAGCTAATGACTGCAGCATCAAAATATTCCTGTCTTCAAGTAAGCCTTGTCACTCATTGCCCAGCTGTGCCAAGACTGGTTAGTTACTCATTGTAAAGCACCCCCTGAATGCTGAAAAGTGTGTGTGTTTTATCTACACCTATTGGTACATACAGATTTTGTATTTAAAAGGTCTGTGTGTGATGTGCCTACCTTAACAGGTTTTAAGACGTGGCTTCCAGGAACAGTGCTTGGCTTGCTCCATTAGGGTAATGCTATTCATTTAATGGAACTGCTTATGATTTACACTGGTGTATGTGAGACTGGAGTCTGGGTCTTGATCTTTTTAATGCAAATTCATCAATTCTGTTAGATAAGAGGTCAAAGAGCCCATTATGTTCTTCAGTCATCTCGAAGCAAAATCATTTGATTGGTTCCAGGCAGTAAGAGGTCCCTACTCCTGCAGTTAGCTCCACAGTGGAACCTTCAGCTGGTGACCAAAGCTCTTACTGGAGCTGTTTATAAATTTTTCATGAACAGTGATCAATGATGAGTGCTAATAATGATAGCAATGATTTCAAAGTTAAAAGTTAAAAATGTAAACTTCAGACTAGTAGGTTCCTCTGGTATTAGTCTGAGTGCTATGTATTTAAACATGCACCTTTTAATTCAAACCATCATATTCCCCTTTTAAATCCACACCTTGAAGCTGATCTGACTGGTGCAAATGGGAAGGTCACAGAGGTCTCTGTGATGTAAAATCAAAGTGAATTCAGAAGCACAGGGCAGATAATGGAGTAGTATAAAATATAGAATCAGGGAATCATAGACAGAGTACATAAACATAACAAATAGTTGGCACACACAAAAATATATCAAGTGCCAAATGTGTACAATACTGCAAATTAACTGCTATGGCAGGAGAGCTAGCAGTGGTGTTCAGAATGGAAAAGCAGAACTCGATTACAGAGATCATAAAATAATCCTCTCCCTTGATCTTTGGCTCCCTAAACCAGGAGAGGCAGAAAGATCTGGCTCTGAACAAACAATCTTTTATTGGTGATGGATGTGGCACTGCTTTGTCCACTAAAATTGCTGATTTACTAATAGAAAAAAAATAAATCTTTTGTGATGACACCGACCTCTCTAACCTGCTAAAGAAAGTGCAAACAGATGGGTATCTCTGTGACTGAGAGTGATGAAACCAGTCTAGAGAAATACCAGTCTCATCTGACGAGAACTAATATTGCAACATGCAGGAGCATCACAAGCATCTCCCCTTAGGATATATTCATTTTCTTTGTGCCAAGAATATGACCAATGATGCTGCATGGTTTGATAGATCTGCCTCTTCTGACGAAAAGGTAACAGATATTTTTATACAAATGTGAAATGTGCCCATAGAAGCCTGGACAGATTTAATTCCTTAGACTTTCCTCTTTATTGTAATACCAGCAAAATTAGGAGACTTTTGATCCTAATAGTGATTTTTTTTTTTTTGTAATGTAGGATACCTGCTTTATGGATTTTGAAGGGAGGGAATTATTTTTTGTTTCTGATATGAGAATGTATTTTTAAAAATAATAATAAGAAACTCCATATCAGCTTTGATACTGGTGATATTTTTCCTTAAGACTAATCTGATGTACTTCAAGAACAACTGCAACCAAGTCTGGTTGATTTAAACAGTACAAACTAGTGATATAACCCAAGTAAAGCACATTTAAGTGAGAACAGAATGAGGCCCTGCATTGTTGGCAGAGCAGGTAAATATAGCTCAGAGACTTACTTGTGGAGTTACATATTTTTCAGTAAGTACATCAATAGTTTAATACCTATCACATATCAATGCTCAGGGAATGGTACTTTGCTGATCATAAATCAAAACTGAAGGACTTTTGGGTGCTGCTCTTCAAACACTGAGTTAGGAAACAATTTTCTTCCAGCATATTTTTCCCCCAGTAGCCTACAAAGGCAGCTGGGTGATTTTTGTGGTTTCTGTATGGAAAAAACACTTATCCTTTAATCCTTAAATCACAACAATTGAGTATAGCTTCATGTCAAAAGCAGCTAATAAAAGTACAAAAATAGGGATTAGCAAGAGTATTTTTAGATTAAAATTACTGGAGTTGGAAAGAAGTGGCACATAATCTCACTACCTTCACAAGCACTGTGGCAGGCTGAAGAGGATTTGTTCTGTTTCATTTGAAGACTGATAGCATAAGTTATGAGAGAGAAGCTATTATTCTAACAGGGTGGATTTCACAATAATAATAATCCATAACTGTACATAAATTTAATTGAAAGTTCATTCTTTTTTTTGTCTGGTATCTTTTAATCATCAATGCTATACAGTACTTCTGCTTCAACTAGCAAAACACATGGGATAGAAAGTTAAACCAGTCATTTTGGTCATAAATTAGGACACTCATACAGCTGCAGCAATTGCTTTCATTTCTAAATATTAAAACAAATGACTACTCTCGTTTAACCTTGAGGCACAAGATTCTCATTGTTTAGATTGTGATTTATTCATATGAGTGAACATAAGGTTCTGATGGAACAAAAATAATTCCTCTTCTTTCCTTCCCCAGAGTGCCCGAGCTGGTTGTATGGCCACATTTGCAGCATGAACTCCTGGACTCAGTTTCCATATTTGAGAAGAAAAAGAACAGCCCCACAGCCTCTGATATACAGCTTGCTTTTGAAAGAAGCACATATTAGTTTCAGATCCTGATACCTGGGATCTTTCTTGAACCTGGTATTGTGTATGACAGGTATGAATCACAGCAAATGGCAGCTACTGTCTACACTTCCCTTTTTAGAACATACACAAATTTACTGGTTAATGTTTATACAAGCACGATGTAAGCATGTCTGATTTACTGTACCAATACCTACAGCTGTAGACTATCTGTTCTACTCAACAGCATTTAAATGGCCTTTGGGGTGTACAATGTATATCCCATTATCCCATTAACGACAAGGTGCAGCTTTGGGCAGTAACAGAAATGTTAGTTTATTTATATGCACAATGATTTATTTTTTTTCTCTGCTCAACTGCTTTTACAGCTTCACCAAGTTATAGAAGAATCAATAGGTGACTTAGTGACTCTGACAGACTCAGTAATACTTTGTACATACACATTGCTAGAGAAAGAAAAATGTTGGGTTTATTTTTGTGACCTTTAGATTCAAACAACTGGCTAAAATCAATTTATAGTCCAAAGAGATTGGATGATACCTACACTAAGCAGTAAAATTGCTTCCACTTTGATAGTGGGCATTAAAATATAACACCAAGGTAACAGTCATTGATTTGGATACAGAATGGGGAGTGAACGTGAGTTTGTCAAGGGTAGGAGGCTGGGGAACAGTTTGACAGACTTTAAGCCAGTGTATCTCAAATACTTAAGCAAAATACTAAGAAGAATACCAAGGAATTTGACCTAGTAGCTAGTTATTAAGAAATAACCATGAATTCTCTTGGCAGATCACTCTGTGCAGTAAAAAGGGGACAACCATCCAGACTGTCCCCAGAGAATCATGCATTGAATTATGAGAATTTCATTGAGAGAGAGCAGAATCAGATGACTGATGAGTGGTTGCTATGCCATTGCCACTTTCTGCTTGAGGTCAGGACCCAGCTTTTCTTTTAACACAGCAGAAGACCTCTTCTAATGATCAGTCCTCAGAGATTAATGGAACCAGCTGAGTTACAGAGCTCCCTATGGAAAATTATTGCTCAGGCTATGAATGATACTACTGAAATGCTTTAATTATCTGTTGCCTTTAGTTGTTGGTATAGTTGTTCTTGCATGACACTCTGTTTATCATCATCTTCACAGGTCACCTTGGAGAACAGATGCCTTGGAGCAAAAGAATTAGGGAAGAAGGAAAGTGGAGTGATACCTGACGTGTGTCATGTTCTGATCTTGCTGAGGAGGAAACGTGTTTTAAAATCCTATGCCAGTGCTGTGGCAGAAATGCAGATGTGGTGATTCATACCATCTAGCAAGCCCTGTTGTGAAGAATTCTCCCTAGTAGGAAATGAGGTGGTTAATCTATTGAATTTTAACTCTCAGAGCCAGGTATTTCTGAAATAAGGCCTGCTAGCTGCTCATCAGGTAAGAGTGAAAGAAAACAGCCTTTAGTGTTTGATGCTAAAGCACGCTGAATTGTACTGCCATAGTCGTTCATATTTTCATACAGCCTTTGTATGCAAAACCTTTTTAAAATTCTAAAAATTAGAAAGTACCTGGTCTGGGGACTTTGATACAGGTTCGACCATTCCCCAGAAACCCCTCTGGGCAGCGGCCACAGACGTATCCAATGTAGGGGGGCTTCCGATCAAAGCAGAGGGCTCCAGGGAAACAGGGCCTGCTGGCACAGCTGGGGACAGGGGACAGTGCTGCTGCCTGGCCTGGAAAAGAAGGGAATTCCAGCATGTTTGTCTCTAATTCCTCAAATCAAATGCATATATAAAACGAAGCAGTCGCTGCCTGAGCCCAGTGAAAGCTTTATAGCTGCTTTTATTCTTTCAAAGTCTAATTAATGCAGAATGTTCCCAAACCTTGAGCCAAACATGAGAATGTCCTGTAGGCACGATGTAACAGAACAGCTGTTTCTCATTAAAGCAAGATTTATTAGTCCTCTAATTACATGTTTTCAAGTTTATGACTCAAAGTTGTTTGGCATTTATCATCAATGATATAGAAACTGTAATTTTCAGCAAAAGTGAAAGGCTCACTGAGTGAGAAACTGTATCATTTGTCACCCTTTTGGTGTTTTGCAATTGGAAGGTAACCATCAACCCTTATAGCACATATAGCCTACCTTTAAAAATACACATACATGTGTTTCTGATCTAGTAACATCCTTAATGTGTCAAACCTAGTATGACAGGGGACTGCTTCAATTATCTGAGAACTATGTGCAAAATTAAACACTCCAGTAGTATATAATATTTTACCACTTATGATGTCACTGACTAGCAAGTGTATATGAACTGCCTGTGAAGTATTTAATAGTGTCAAGACAGAGAACAGATAATGTATAAAATCTTAATGATGGTTGTAGATCTTTTTTAATCCCCTCCAGTGAGGTCTCCATCATGAGTCTCAAGTATTTTCAGCATCATTCTTGCACCTTACCTACAGCATTGTGATGGCTACCTGTAAAAGGCAAGCTCTGGTTAGATGTTGGTTGGCCTAGTATGGACACAAAAAGGTGAGAAAAAAAATAAATCTTTCCTTTATGTATGCCTCCACACAGCAGATATGCCCAGTCTCAATTCTTCTCCTTCCTATTTTCACTAGAAAATCAACTAAATATGCAACACTGATTAGAACAAGGCCAACATAAGCACTGTGTAGGTGCATATCCCTGGTATTAAAATTGACATAAGGTGTCTTTCTTGTCATCTTGCTTTCCATCGGTCACTAAGATTTGGAGTGATTTTATTCTACCTCAGAAGTGATGCAATTTTTAGTTAAGCCTTAGCACTCTGATTGCTATTGCTGTAATTTTTCCTTTCTGTGTAAAATTGTTTAGCTGCAATCTACAGTCTGATGCATTAAGGGGAGTTATATTTTTAACTGTTATATTTCTATGATGTATTATAACCAGCTAGTTTATATTTGCTGTTGAGATGGTAAAATGTATGACTTCTGAATACACAGAGTGCAACAAATGAAAATGATTTCATGTCCTTGGATACTTACCTTGTTTATAACTCATGTTAAAATTCTTAATTACAGGAGAATCCTTTGCCTCTAAGGGATGCAGTGGCTGCTTAACCTCAGTCTTGTTCAAATCACCTTTGCCATTGCCTTTTTCAACGCTTAGAGCTTTAGTAATGTCAGCAGCAGGCACAGCTGTGAAAAGAAAGCATGGAGACAAGGAAACAAGGTGTTAGAGCTTAGCTGTGATTGATGATAAAAAGCAACAGTCACAGCAAATCAGATGACTGGACACAAGTTTATCCTGGAAGCCAACCATCAAACAAACAACAGCAAATCAGGTGAGTCAGCTGCTGACATGCAGCAAAGCTTCAACACAAATATAGAAAAAATTACTATGCCCAAACTCATTGAACTTTGCTCATCTGGGAGACATACTTAATATGCACAGTGATCTTTTATTGAGCTGAGGGCACCAAGAAGGTCCCTGTCCATTAGAGAGCATTGCTGCTTGGGTGAAGATGCTACACCACACACTGGGACCTGTGCTCTGTCTGATTCCTGCTTCTCCTTGAAAGCTTCTCTCTGAACCTATGTTGTGTGTGTTTTTTGGCTTTTGTTAGTTCAGCTGCAAACTTTCTACATGTCAAAATGCCTGTAAAAAGTATGCGTGCATGTAAAGAGGAAAATTGATTGGTGGGGACTCTAAAAAATATTGTTTTCTGCATAATTTTAACATAATTTCTTTAATGAGTTAGGGATTGCAAAGTCTGTGTAGATAATGTTTCAGGTTAAACAACTGTTGTCCTGGGTCTCTTGGATATTCTGTACTCTTAATAGAGCCTGAGATTATGATCCTTTACATATATTCAATGGAATGAGCTATAACTCACTCTAAGAGCTATAAAGTCACTTCTGTTTCCTCCTCCTTCCTCCTGAAACCCTTTGCACTTGCTTAAGCAAGGGAAATATCTGCAGATATGTTAGGTCTGTATATCAAAACCACAACGAATGATTTCTATCTATCTTCTTTTGAGTGGACAAGGAAGCCCTCAGTCTTATTGCTTCTAATAATGGCAAATTTCTGAACTAGAGAAATCTCCATAATTAAGAAAATGTGATGGAAGAAATTACTTTTCTGACATATTTAAAAGTTTACTTTGTATATCCTTCTTTCATTGGCCAAATTAGCTACACAAATATGCATTAGTGAAACAGATGCAAAATCACTTTGAAATAACCAATGTGGCCAAATAATACAGCAAACAAAACATTCTGTACAGACATGTGGCACTATGATTGGAGAGATATTTGGTAAATCTGTTTGGTAAATCAAAGGCAGTCCTGCTGGTGCCAGGATCCTACAGTTACAACTGAGTCTTTTTATACTGGTTATTTTATTTTTTCCTTTTGGTAGTCAATATGAGGAAAAGTCATTATCCAAACAGTTAATATCTGTATATTTTGCTTCTTGGATTTCTTTGGCGACACCAACAAACAAACAGATGTGAAACAATTCAAGTGTTGATTTCTCTCCTTCTGTCTAACCAAATGTTATTTCTGGAGAAGATTTATGTGTATATGACTGAAACAAGCAGAGTGTGAGTAGACCAGTCAGTGTAGTCTCCCTACTAAAGGAGGGCCCCAAAAGCAAATCCTGAGCAGGTGTAGAATTGTTCCTGGCCATTATAGTGGGGACTTGTGGCATGACTTTATGCCAAGCATGAGCTCAGCAGCTGGGGACTGCCTCCTCTAATGAAATCACACCTTGGAAAAAGGTGAAGATGTGTGAAGGATTTGCACGTGCACCTTCTTCCTCTTACCTTACATCTTGCTTACACAGCACTTGCTCAAAACAAGAGTAATCTTTGGGGTGCTCCCCAAGTACTTATTAGTGGATGGTGTTATTTAGGAGTGAAATAATGGAAAACATGGGGAATGTGCTTGGTAAATTATCTAGCTGGCACTACTACAGTGTTTATTCTAACCAAAATGAAACTGAACTACAGTGAAAAATAGCAGAGACCTATTTGCAATTATCCGTATTAATGTAACGTGACAATAGTCTGCTTTATATATTTAAAGGTCCACACTTGAGGCAAGTGCAGAGTACTCAAATAAGGATAAATAGTAGAAGAATCAAACTATTTTTCCCCCCCCATCTGTTAAAATAAATCATGCAAACCACTTACATTTGCAAGTTTTACCATTTCCCTCCATCCCAGTGGGGCAAATTCCACATGCATACGATCCAAAGGTATTCATACAAGACACTCCAGGGAAACAAAGACTCTCTTCACATTCATTCCTGTCTTCCTGACAAGTAAGCCCTGTGGCAAAACAAAGGGGAGGCTAATAATCAGGAGAGATCCCCTGTTTATTCCTCAGCTCAAATGTTGAAGCAGACTAAGGCTTACTTCTCAGCTGTAAACTCATTACAGGGTACGTCACTCGCGTTAGAGCCAAATTCCCCACTGTCTCACTTAAACCTGCTTTTATCACACTGTTATTACTGTCATTATTGGCACCAGAAGTGCTGAACTTGAGACTGCTGCTTGTAGAAAGCTGTGCATGTTAAATAAATTATTTCCCCTGCATTTCATATCTTTGCAGCTGCTTTTGTTGTCTTGCTTATGTGAGATCTTTGTCATATGCTGAAGTAGCAGTGTCACCATTTGGGCTTTAGGATGTGAACAGCCATGTACTGACCTATTGTGCTTTTCATGTCTATGTGAACCTCACATAAATAATAGCTTATTGTGAGCCAGCCTGATAGAATCTGGCTGAAGTTAAACCTTACAAAATTATCAGATTTTTTTTTCAAAACTGTTTTTTTTTCCCCCTATTTAAAATTTGAAGAAATATTCTGAAAATATCTTTGAACCATGGTGCTAGTGTATAGAAGATAAGCTGCTATAGGATCTGAACCCAAAACCATGTGCCTTGACTATTGCTGATTTTGGAAAAAAAGGTTTTAAAAATCCCTGGAAGCAATTGATATTCAAATTCACAGCTCTGGATGATTTAACAGATACCTATAGGGGAAGGTGACCCCAAAGTTAAATCTGCTATCTGAACAGCAAATGATGCAGAGTAATCACATGTAATGTTGTTAAAAACTCCCTCAGGCTTCAGGTGTGCGTGCTGCTGTCTCTGTGCACTTGAGAGAACTTGCTTGGCTGTTTGCTGGTTACCAGAATAAGCAGCCCTGATGGCAGGTCATGATCCAGCCCATCTCACTTCTGTTGGGGCATGTCCTTTGTCCCATGTAGGAATACTCAAGGAGATTGGGGCAACTTCTGGAGAGTCCAGGTACCTCCTTCAGGACATATCACTAGGTACACAAAGGCTTGTTCCATATCAGATAGCCAATTTTATCACAAAAGATGATCTAATGACAAAAGAATATTGTTTTTTTTTTTTCTTCAAAACCAAAATTTGTCTCAGTGGAACAAATAAAAACAGAATGATAAAACCAGAGCATTATTATTCATCTCCTACAATGTCTGTTATTGCTTCAGCATTTCAGATAGCTTCTAATACTCCTTACAAGTTAAAGTAGCATGTCCATGTAAAAAAATCAAATTGACTCCTTACAAGTTAAAGTAGCATGTCCATGTAAAAAAATCAAATTGAAGTCTCTGTTGATAGAACTGCCTAAAAAACTTTGTGACATCATCTTCTCATGCCTGCTTTGTCTTGTAGAAAAAAAAAGAACAGCTGCACAAAAGCCAAGTCCCTTTTCTGGTGCCCTCTTAAGCTAAATTGTTCTGGTTTTGCATGTTTCTTGCTTCTTTCTTTTAAATTGGACTCCATATCATATTGCAGGTTTTAACTGACTTTCTCCTCTCTCTTGTTAGATTTTGGATTACTGTTTCTGTTGTATAATTTATCTAGCACATTCTAGCATCAGGCTGCTTTTCTCTGATACTGCTTTCTGGTGACAGATTGGGAAATTATTAGACATCACATAGTGGGAAATATTGAATGAGTTACCGTCTGATTAGGTTAGTAATTATTTTCTTTCTCTGAGTATCATAAAAGACTAAACATGTTACCATAGATGATGAAACTAGGAATGAAGTTCCCAGTTTCAGAAACAACAGCTGCGTGTCCCTCAGAACCCTCTCCTCCCTCCTATGTACTCTATTTTTTTTTTTCTGCAAAGAGCTGGATTTAAAATGTCAAAAATGAGAGAATTACAAAAAGCAAAGGAACACCACAAGTTAAAAAACTAAATACTAAGTCATCTAATTGATTTTTGTAACATAAAGGTGGAACTATGCAAGCACTTAGTTTCACTCAGAAACATGACTTTAAACAGCATCTGATCAATTTGGGCATAGAGATAATCCAGCTGAGTCCAAGGACAAATGTTTGGAAAGTCTGAAACTTGGCAGAAGGTTGCTGAAGAAGCAGCAGAATGGACAGCAAGCTGCCTGCACCCAGAAGTGTCAAGGACTCTGCATGACCTCCAGTGCACTGCAACACAAGGAGGTCTCAAATCTTTTGGCATTGTTGTAGGACAAATAAAACTAGTAGGAATAAAAGATTTTCAGGTTGCAAAGTTGTAACATCTATTTCTATGCCAGCTTTATTTCTCTGTCCCTGCATGGGAAATAGGCTGAGAAGACAAAGTCCTTTTATGCCTTGAGACGAGCTGACCACCTACAGATGCAGAGAAAGACTTTTTGACTGTGCTCACAAAAAGCTGAACCTAAAGGAACAGGCAATCTCACTGAGGGGACTCTGTGATTTACTACAAACCAGGAACAAATCTTGGGGTTTTCTTCAGTTTTCTGAAAAGTAAAATGAAATTATCATTCCACCCTCCTCTCTGTCCCCTAGTTTTATGTTAATCACCGGTATATGGGGAAAGAAAGAACGGTTTTGTTATTCAGATACAGTTTTCAAGGATGAGTTCTGTTCTCAGATGGGTGATGTTCTTGCTTTCTAGTGGCCAAAAAAGCAAAGAACAGTAATTCTTGTTATCTTAGCAGTGTTGAAGAAAAATGAATGAACTTTGAGCACTCGATGAGATATAGATATATGTCACTGCAGAAGTTTGAAGTAATGATTCTGGAGTCATCCTTCTCTCAGATTTCCCAGTGGCTTCTCTCCCTTCCTTGTCCTCATTCCCACATCACACCCTGGCATTGCCTGGGGTACAGTGATGCACCTGAATTGCTACCACTTAGCAACACACGGCGTTCCCTGTGCTCTGCTTCTCTTGCAGGGCTGTTTGGAAAGCTCTCAAAAAGAGTAAATTTTTTGTTCCTGCTACCTGTTCATTATCATTTGTAAAGGTTTGACGGTGAAGTGGTGCTGTCACTTGAGCAGTATAGCATTGCCTTCTCATTAGATTATTGATGGCTTCCTGGGGAATTGAGACATAAACACAGCATCAAGGATGAGCCTTTATTGTTGTCACAGAACCTGCCCTGAAGTAAAAGCATCCACTTCCCAGCTGGCTTTCAGCTCCACTTGCTTATAATTTTTCACCTGCTATTAAAACTTTGAGATATATTCCTATTTCACTCAATCATGCCTTTTTCTTTTCTGTTGTTGCTTCTATTTTAACAATTTGTACCCAGGAAGAACAGCAATAGCAATGCACTTTTATTTAACCTGGCAAGAATTAAGGGTTCAGGGAAAACTAGTGTTTCTCTGGCCATCAAAGCGTCCTGTGCCCTTGTGTCTGGGGTCAGCTGAATGCTGCTCTCAAGCATGGCATTTTCAAGTGTTGGGTATTTAATTCTTTACTGTTTGTGTAAGAATATGTGCCACGTTTCAGAATACGCTCCATGTGAATTTGTCAAAAATGCATTGTAATTATGGTAGACTATTTTATGTGGAATAATAGAGCTTGATTTCACTCTCTCTGTGTGCAATACCACATGAAGTGAGATGGGCAGCGGTGTGAAACTGGTGAAGATCAAACAACAGGAGCAGATCCACTGCAGTTGTTAACTCATGGAATGATATTGCTTTTTATTCATTTAATCCACCTCCTTACAGGCAATGAACAATAGCTCTTATTGAATACCTCCAGTGTTTAACCAAATATAGCCTAAAGAGTTCCCAAATTTCATTGTGCTCATAGGAATGTTATTTCCAGGGGGATTCAAGATATTCTGTGTATGTTTCCTTGGTTTGAGAATGTTTATATTTTGATCAAACTTTAGTTTTCTGACTTTATTCTCTATGCTTTAAGCTTTTGTGTTCTTGCATCAGTAGAGTCACTGGTGACATAAACACTCTGGATTGCAGCAGGCTTTGGCTATTTGCTACCATAGCTTAGTCAATACTGTCTAGGTGCCACAGATATTTAACTGAACTTTTCTGTATTATTTTTATTTTCCTTTTCTGCTAGAATTTTGTAGTTAATGAAATCTGGACTTAGTCCCACACAACCGAAACAAAGAAAGTTTCATGAACTGCTGAAAGGCGGACAGAGTACCTTGCTGCCTGCATGAGCCCTTTGGGCAAAATCTGTTCATTGCTTTTGTTTAAAATCGAGTTTCTTTTATATGTACACGCTACAAGGAGTAATAATTATGTGCATTTGATGTTACTTCTAGTTTTTTTTTAAACCTATAGCACTGCACAGCAGCCAGCATCGTGGGTCTCATGAATTCACTGCTGTGTCTGTATGTGAACAGAGAAAGGTTTTTGACAAGGTGCAAAGACTGAAATCTGAGCTCAGCTTAAGGTGTACTTTTTCTTAGTCTTTTTCTGAACTCGTTCTGATCTGAAATATGTTCTAATACAGTTTCAGCTAGCACCTTTCACTTGTAGGAGACTAATTTGACAAGAATGGACAGTAACACAAAGTCTTTACTCTCCTAGTCTGCACAGTGAGCTGGGTGAGTGGGTGTTATTGTAACTGGCCTTTTGCCAAGAGCCAGATTTAGAAGTCTGTGCAGGCCCTGTATATTCAGATTCGCTTTGTACCTCCTGAAGAGCTAAACTGGAAATTGAAAGAGAAAAACTTCTGTGAAAGCCCAGGAGAAGGCGTTTAGCCCAGTGTGAAACTCTACTGTGTTGGAAGCCAGTGGTGTTATGAGCAGCTGGAGCATGGGGCCCAGCCTGGAGGAGGTTGTAGGCACTCTGTGAGACCCAAAAGTGCTCTCTTCCACTCAGTCAGCTCCAAGCTCATCTCGTGGGTGGGGAAATCCATGGGAAATAAGCAGGTGGCAGCTGAGATTAGGGAGATTCACAGCCTCTTTGAGGGATCATTTCAGGACCGCAGAGCTTTAGGTCCTTTTTCTTTCCTTGGGCATGGATCATTAGCTGGTTTCATGCTTTTTCTCTCTGCCTAAAGCTAAGTCACTGGAGCAGAAGAGGAGGCTTATGGAGTTAATTTGACCAATCCTTGTGGTCACGCAGCACTCAAAGCCCTGTGGTGCAGTATATCTCTAGTTAAATCAGAGATGGAAACTGTGATGTGTTACCTCTCAGACCAGGGGGACATTTACAAAAGTAGCTGTCCACACTGTCCACGCATGTTCCGCTGCCACAGGGGTTGGATTTGCAGGCGTTAGTGTCTTCCTGGCAAAATTCTCCATCAAATCCATTTGGACATAAGCACAGGTATTCACCAAGGCCTGGAGGAAATGTAATGTTGGTAACACATGTCCCACCGTTGAGGCAGCTGCAGGGCTTCACTCCAACCTGAGGAAGGCAAAAGGGAGTTGAAGTAAGATTCCTCCAAATAGTCACAGCCGAGGGGAACATTGTTACCCTTGAGGAAGGGACACATTTGCACTGCAAACATGTTATCTAGTATTATGAAAACTTATTTCTAACCAATTTCCTTTGTCTAGATAGATGGTCTTATACTCAGCATACTATTTTTCTGACTGAAAGCTTGACTTTAAAGGGATTTTTTTTTTCTTTATCATTTAGGAACACATTCTAACTTCTTATAAGGAAAAAAAAATCTTATTTGCTATAACAGCAGTTTTTACATACTATCTGAGGGCAGAATTTGCTCTTTATTCTTCAAAGAAATGAAAAATCTTTTCTCTTTGCCTGCATGCCCTCCTTGCTGTTTCACATTACAAATGGCTCCCAGGCAGGAACATGACTGTGTCATTCCTTAGCTGGTCTCTTTTCAGGGAAGAAAAGTCCATAGCTGTATTTTATGTATGTACAAGAACAGCATTTCCACAGATTCAGAGCTCAGTATTATCTCACCTAGTTAAACATAGGTCTAGTTTGAAATGTTTCCATTAAAACCATATCTAGACTCCAGTCTTCCCCTTTGCTGTGTGGCTTCAGCAGATTGGTATTTTTGATGTTAGTGGCTTGAATGAGTAAAAATAGGAATCTTTAGGAATAAAAACCTTTTCTTCACAAAACTCTTCTTATGTCAAGAGTCTACATCCCACTTTATTAGCTCATCCTATCACAGGATTAATGTTAGGCTATACAATAAAGACAAAGCAATGCACAAGCTCTGCCAAAAAACTTGAAGTGTGGAGTAATGACATAAGAGCAAGACATCCCCTAAAAATATCATTGAGAATGAGTTATAATCTCCCTTTTTATAGCTAAAACTTGGTCTTTCATGTTATATGCTTTTTTTCTGCAATCCAAATGCAGAATGTGAATTTTAAAGCAGATTAATGAACCATTTAAAGGCTCTGCAAGACTGTTCTTTCAAACAGCAATCAATAGCACTCTCTCTTGTTCCCTGTATATATAGTTTCTATGTTCTTAGAGATATTTATTTCATTAATTGATCATTATTGCTGTGCTGGATAATATACACTTATGAGGAAATAGCTGAAGTCTTAGTTTTCAGGACAGTAACAAATTATTAGCTGTAATGACAATTGCACCAAAACAATGACATGATGAACAGGCTTGTTTTGGTTTTTTCCCTTGAAAGTGTTCATTTCCTTACCTCAATAGAGTATCTGCTCTGTGCATTGCATTCATCCAACACAGAGAATTCAAAGGTCTGCATTTCTTCTGAGTCAACTTTCCAGAGCAGGAGGCCAGCAGGAGAGAGCCTGGCGTACTGTGGCCCAGCCTCTAGGACGAACAGCACAGCTGACCCTTCTGGATCCACTGCTGTTAACTGGTAAACAAAATTCTCACCAAAAAACGTCAGCAGCTGGCTGGAGGGGGCCTGGAACACAGGAGGCAGGTTGTCTAGACAGCAAAAACGAAACCATGATTATGTAAATTCCAGTTTCTCCCATGTACAGATTCACAGCGCGGGTTGTTGTAGGAGTACTCTCAAAGGAAAAGGTACAGAACATGCCCTGAGACCAACAGAGGAAGAAATGTAGATGTTAGAGGCAGCACATGGATTTACCAAAAAGGACACATTTTCCTCCCTTTTTTTTTTTTTTTTTTTTTTTTTTCATGCCCCATACTGAACTTTTCTCCCATACCAAACTTTGATGACTTTTGATGTATTAACTCATACATAGGAGGAGATGAGGCAGGACTTCTATAACCTCCCACTGTCCTCCCTCTCTTACTAAAACTTTAATTAATTATATTTCTCATACATATATATACTTATTCTGTCCACAACTCTATCCATTTAAATATAAAGTAAACTAAATGTCAAAATGATGAATGACAAATGAATTGGGTGGGCAGCTCGGGGGGCAAAAAAACCTCTTCTGCCTTTACACCAGTAGTAATTAAGCCTGAGCAGTTTGACTGAATTCAGTTAGATGTTTTAACAGACATAAAGGTCTTCTCAGTGCCAGCAGAGGTGTGTCAGTGATGCTGAAACTCTATTCCCAGTGACAGTAGTGCACATCACGTCACCATTGGCATTGGTAATTCTAGTGGTGTTGGTTGCATACAGTATTTCCCTAACGAAGATAAAAGTCTAATTGTACAGGGCTGTTTTATAGTAGGACACAAATGCTACTTGATGATACTTACTGTATAAATATATAAGGAAGACAAGGTAGAGGGAAGTATTACACTTTATAATTAGACTGGAAAACTAAGATTGCATGAGTACCCTGAGGTGACAGCAGCTCTGTGCAGGGCCAGGAATTTTGTTTCCCTGTCCTAAGCTTCCTCAGCCTCAAGCCAATTTTCCTCTTTAACCGAATTGACATGTACTAATAGTTAAAGGAATCTTCTCCCAGCACAATTTTACCATAGTTATGTTAACTTAAAGGGCATTTCTAATACTGAGGATTAATTTCAAGTCACACTCTAAAACTACAGACTATATACGTGTTCTCATAAGGACTGCACGTATCCTTGCATTGTGCTTGTGGGAAGTCATAATTAGGTTTTTCTTTGTGGTGCATATCCTTTTATTAGGCTTTGCTTTCCACAGCATGTCTCACTTTATGCAGTTATTTAAATGTGTCTCATTGCTGCTGTGCTATCAGAGCTCTCCAAACTGCTTGTCCAGCAGATTGTCCTGGCATAATTGTTAAAAGCTTCCATCTATTAATTTACCTTTTATTTCCCAAACACTCAAACCATGGAGCCCATAAAAGTTGTGCACAAAGTAATCAATGAAATATTGATGCTGGGTATGCTTTTGCAGATAAACACAAAGGTATTAACTGGATGGAAGGTAACAAGAACTTCTAGGCACAAAATAACATAAAATCAGATGTTCTGGAAGTAGTCTGTGAATAAGAGTGTTTCTAACTCCACAGAGATCTCCTTGCCATCCAGTGAAAATCTATCTATCTATCTATAAATATACGCTCTCAATTACTGCAGAACTTTAAAAAATGTTTTCAGAATTTTGAAAACAAGTCTGCCAAACCCTTTCAATATTTCTAAATTTTTAAATATTGAAAAGCAAACCATGATCTATTTCAGATTTCACAAATCACTTCTAGCTTTATAAATTCCAAAATAAATGCAATTTTTTTTTTTTTTTTCCTTTTAAGCCATTTTCTGAATTTTAAAATTGAACTATGTTGGTATTAGTAATGAATCTGTTCATATAACAGTCAAGATCAGCTCATCCCTAGAGATGCTACTGCTGTGGCCAACACAATGGAAGGACAAAAAGGAGGCAAGGTTTGTGAGTCACAGATAATATCTCTCAGTAGACTAAACTATATCCCTGAGGGGGAAACCCACAGCTTTCCTTTGTATGAGCTCTTCTTCTGGTCTAGGCTTACCTACAGACATCCTAACTACTCATCCAAGTAGCATCCAACGTGATTTGTAGTTGGCCAACAGTGGGGATGGATTTGCCTACACATTTTCCTGACAGGAAATTTTAAATTCTAACAGTTGGATTTTTAATGACATAAACTAGAAGCATGTGTTCTTAAATAGAGAAAATTCAAAGTGTCTGCCCTGGAGCAGGAATTAAAAACACTCACAAACAACTTTTTCCCTTCCTCTTCTGTTCTTGTTTCCAAAATTGTTTTCAAACTACTTATGACTTCTTGTGTTGCTGGAAAACGTTGAGTCCTTTCTGGCCCTTCTTAAGGGCCTTTCTGTCACCTCTGAGAAGAGCGTGGCTGTTCACTGCTCTCCTTGGCAGTGTCCCCACTGGAGCTATGCACCCCAGCTGCTGTGAAGCAGCTCCTGCTGTTTCTGCTGCCATATCTTGCACTCTCTAGGAGCCTTCGTCCCTGAGCATCCCCAGCTGCTCCCCAAGGACAAGAGCAACCGTCCTCTCCTTCCAGAAGGGTCCTGCTCACCTAGTCACCCTAAAGGAATATAAAACTGCAAATAAAGCAAACTGGTCCTGTCACTCACACACCTTTCGGTAATGTGCTTGTGTTTACAGAACCTAAAAGTACAGAGAAACTATTTCTAGAACCCACATGTGAATCTACATAAAAGCAGTGATATAATCTTTATATTGACAAGATGCTCATGTAAGTCGGGAGATGTGCTGTGAGGACAATGCTGCCAGAAACATGGATTACCTGTAAAGCATGAGGTAAGGAATGGTTGTTGTTTACCCTGGGAGTGTAGCCAGGAAAAAACTATGATTAAGTCCTCAACATTCAGGAGGTGCTTCAAAAGGCAGCCTTCCCCATGCCCCCTGCCACGACGGGCTGCAGAATGAGCCTTTGGGTTCTGTGGCAGCGAAGGTAATGAGTGGCTGATCCCTATCACTTAGACTCCCTGCCAAGCCAAGGTCTTTTGTGTGGCATATCATAGGATTTGGTTCAGGAAAGGGAAACAATTCTTCCAGATAACAAAAATATACACTACTGTTTTAAAAACAGTATTTTCCCCAAATTGTTCCCTTAGAGATTTGTACCTGCGAGATGATAACAGAGGTATTGAGGGTTCATCACCCTTAGCTGTCAGACTTGGGCACTGCACAAGGCACTGACATATCAAAATTTCATTTTCAGATGTTATTTTGGTTTCAGCCAGAATAAGATATGTGTCCAGATGCATGGTGCATGCAGTAGAGTAATGCCTGCTTCTGCTCAGGCTGCAGTTCTCCTGCACCCAATTACTCTCATGGCAAACTGTCTGCATGTGCTACACAGGACAGATTCATCTTGGGCAGATAAAGGAACAATGTGTTTCATAGACCAAGTCACATATTCCCAGATAAGTGCTTCTAAATCTTAGGAAAAACGAAAACCAAACTGTCTTACTTTCATTAATAGACCAGGTAAACTTGGAAATGTCAGGTTCACAGAGGAGACAAGGACTCGTAGGGCTTGACTCTCCTTCACCGTAGCAAAGTCCATCTATATTACAAGTATTTTCCTGCCAAAAAAAGGAAATAAAAATGGGTGGGAGGTGGAGGCAAGGAAAAACGGAATAAGAAAGGTAAGAAATTAGCAGTTCATAATTTCTGGAGATAAGCAGAAACTCATTTGTCTCTTGAAACATTAAAATAGTTGCAATATAAATGTTGGTATTTTGTCCTAAACAAGGCATGTAAATTTTCCAGTTTCAGTTTGAGATCTTTGTAACTTTGAAAGTTTTAGCTTAGGCAACGTGCATTGTTGCTTGGCATAGATGAATGCAACAGAATGTGATTCTTTTTTTTCATTCCCACACTGAAGTAGTGTGTGTGATCATTATTCCCAGCTGGGACTTCTAATATGATGTTTATTAGGTAATACTCAAAAGTGAGCTCCACGAGATTAATGAAAACTGAGCCCGGATCAAAGCTACATTTGGAATTTTTGGAATCCTTTTCTGGTAACTTAAATATTTCTGAGGTGCTTCATGAAAATATACAAAAGGAATGATATAAATGCAGCATAAAGGAGTGCATTAGATTTTGGGCTTCCATGAGATAGTTGTAAACAACAGCTAAGCACATCGATTGTGCCCAGGTCTGGCAGAGCATCCCAGCAGAAGTTCATGTATTGCACTGTGGGCACAGCAGCCTTTGAAGACACCCTGGCCCTGTGGCTTCCACATGGGCTGAAAAGAATTGAGTTGTCTGGGAAGCAAACACAGGGACATAATTAGCAGATTTTAATTACATCTGCTGAATTACCATCTACGCCACAGGAATGTCCTGTGGCAAAGTTATGCCTTTTGCTGGCAGCCTGTGTTGGGGCAGACCTGCAGATGGGACTTTATCTGACAATGCAGATTCCCAGAAAAACATGGAGTGCTGTTGGGAAATGAGGGATGTCACTGCTCCAGTGGACAGCTGGAGGGAGAAGCCACAAGGACCAAAGGCATTTTCCTTTTTCCGAGTCTCATGTGTGTTTTGTTACCAACCTTGTGGTTTCTATCTACTGCTTATTAGTTTCTCAACCTTGTTTTGCCAAGTGTATTAGTCAATATTTTAAATAATACCACTTTAAGAGTAACAGGTAACAAAAAGGACTCTCATAATTGCCACATGACAGAATGTGACAGATCTTCAACATTAAAATCTGGATGTTAATTAGATTTTATTACATTGTTGTTTTCAAAGGCCTGATGTCCCGATGAAAAAGATGCTTTTTTTTTTTTTTTCTGATGTGGTAGTGTGGTACAGAATGGGCTCCATAAAAGAAGAATACAGAATATGAAATGGCCTGATATAAAATGTCCCCTAATTGAAACACCTTTTCTGAAAGCAATTTGGGTATTACAAAGTAATGTTCTAAGAGGGATAATTAGAATGTGGTCTGATGCAATTGGAAGCCTAGTTCAAATAGTCCCTTGAAGCATTTTAGGATAGAAATTACTACAATCCCTAGAGAACACCAGCATATTCAGAAAACATATATATTTCTGACTTTCAAAAATGTAGGAATAAGGAAAGCATTTGACAAAAAACCCACAGTAGCTGTAATTGAAATGGTTCTGACACAGTTATTTTAATTTGAAATTTAAGTGGTTTTGCTATTATTTGAGCCTATAAAGTAATTTCTGCTCACTGATTTATTTGAAAAAAAAATGTGAACTTTCATTTTATTTTGGTAACTGGTACGTTCTTGCAATCTGTGCAAACTTGAAAACTCAATTTTCTCATTAGTCATAATATGAACAGTGAGGCAAATGAATTAAGATATGCCTGATTAATGTTCATTTTAGAAATATGCACACTAGTGGTCTCCTATTCCTTCATAGGTAGGAACCTATTTGTTCCTCAGGTAGGAAGGTAGGGTCAGCACATTCAAATATCCCACCAATACCCTCCAAAAGTTTCTTTGGATACCCCACTGAAAAATGGAGAATTCATCTAACGCAGCAGAAAATAAAAGCAGGGAAGCTCTGTTTTTTTTGAGGGATGGGGGTGTTACACTAATAAGTCCACAGGAAAAGGGAAGGTTATAGTTCTTTCCAGGCAGTTCCTATCATGCTGGCAGTTTAAAACATAGCCATAGAGTTTTGATCACGGGTTTGAAACTATCCAAGTACAATATGTTTGTACTTAGCAGTGCTTAATGTAAGCAAGAATGTTTTATATTTCAATAGAAAAGCTGAAGGGTGTTTCCACATGACAAAAACTGTGTAACATGCATCTTAGTATACCTTTTGTTAAGGCAGAAAATGGGTATAGAAGTGATATATCTTACAGTTACAGTGCCCTTGCCAAACAGGCTAGGAGAGGTAAAATAGCAGCGACTCTTCAAAAAAGAAGGTAAGCTGCCTTTTAGAGGAGACTTCTCACTCTTATTTGCTTCCATTAACAGCTGAAAAGTATAAATATTGTCAGCCATGGTCTTTCTGGAAGTATCTGTCAGAGAAAGGTTCATCATAAAGCTTGCTCTATCAGGTATTCATATCCCACATAAATAGGAAAAAAACCTAACATCAGACAGGAGGCTGTGAAAAAGAGAAAAGTGTTAGGCTCTGCAGCTGGCCTATGAAATAGATTTTCCTCTTCTAAAGCAGTTACTACACACAGTACATCAAAGGGAGGGAGAGGGCTAAGGAAGAGACAAACGATCCATATTAAACCTTTATGATCTTTAAATTACCTTTAATTTACAAAGTCCAGTTGGATGGAACTGGCAGGCCTGGCAGACCGCGTCGTACAGGGTCAGCACTCTGGAGTTACTGTACTGGAAGCCATCGTTAGTGAGCTAAATGATACAAAAATCATCCTTATAAGTAATAATGTTCCATATGGAGACTGTCTGCTCATTCTGGAGCAAACACCGTCGCCCCCTTGAACTGGATCCTTGCCAGCAAGATAAATTAAACTGCTTGTGAGTGGCTCTAACTGCAAGCTAACAAATTGTTTAATGTTCCAAACTGGAAACTATTCATTAATAACCAAAAGATCTTTTGGCTCAACTGGCATTCAACTTTTCTGAGGGTTTCTTTCAGTAATCTTATGGTAACTCTACTCAAGTACTAAAAAGGGGTATTCCAAGGAGCTGTAAAATAAAATTAAGATTTTTGGCTGAAATTCAGGACCACTTTCTTACTAATGGCAAATCAGTAAGTAAAATCCTTGGAGTAACAAAAAAAGAGAATGCATCTTATACAGGTGATTTTAAATCAACCTTTAAAAAAAGTGCTAGGGTGGATAATACCAAAGAGCAACAGTTCCTTTTCCATAAGAAGGTACATTAGCACAGTCACCTCCATCTCACCATTTCCTGGACAAGTAGGTAATTTATAAAGCCTTAATTTAGTATAGCATTTTTCCTATAACACTGATTGAATACCAGCAGGAAAGCAAAGCCCTTTCTGTTAGGTTTTTTTTTAGGTTTTGGCTTCCCACAGTCAAAATAAAGCAGCTGCTTAGCAGATCTGACAAGGCCTTTGCTTTAGACTGGTCAGGTGCTCCTCTGTCCTCTTGTTACCTAAACAACCCCCAAGCCCTCCTCCATCTCTCCTGTGACCCCAAAGCTGAAATCTCCTCAGCACCTTTACAAGGTCAAGAGTATAAAGTTTTTTGATCAATCAATAAACTATTCAGAAAGAATTGTTAAATTCAACAAAGATAACTGGAAGTACAAAGAGTAAAAATTACTTTAAGTTCCACAAAAAAAGCACCAACTGTTATGAGTTCATGAAGAATGATGTGAAAGCTCACTGAACATAATACAGTAGATACTCCCACAGTATGTGATGGTTCTCAGCTCAAAATGTGCTCTGAGCTAAGAGGGTTTTTTTCTTGAGAAAAGAGAAGGAGTAAACAGGCAGTGTTCACAGATATTCATGATTTGAAATTGTGGAAAAGAAAAAGCTTCTTTGGACTAGTTTAAATTGGTAAAAAAATCCGGTAGAATTTATTGGTCCCATAAAATTCCTTTGTATAGCTTTAAGGAAAAATAGATTTATTTTCTTTTTCCTCTGGACATCATATTCAGTTGAAATATTAGACTATTGTATGTTACTACAGGTAAAAACTCTTTTAAAAGAAGTAAAGAACTTATCCTGCAGTTTGAGAAGAGAAAAAATTAAACCAGGCGACCCCCTTCAAGACCTTCACTGAAAGATAGTGCTTACTGGCAGCAAGACTTCCATTAAGATTATATTATTCTTAATGCAATTTGCATTTCATTTTATTCTTTTATCAGTGTCCAATGTTGTCTGAATACCAGTGCACTAATAATGGGTGAAGAAATGGGTAGACAGGGAAAAATATAAAAAGCTGTAAAATTGCACTAATTGTTCTGTCTGAAGTGAGCATTACGAGTGAAATGTAATTCTTGATTTGATTTTTTTTTTTAATTTGAATTATTTTTTCTAAATTCTATTATAAACTTCCATTTTGGTGCCTTTTTAGGATTGGGTTGTTTTATAGCTATTTTAATTGCTTTTCCATTAGTCACCTTAGTGATGTGGAACAAATACTTCAATGAGACCCAAGCTGAGTAAACCTCTCTTCAAATTCAGTTGGCCCTTAAAAGCCAAAGACACTCTTAGAGTGGTGCCTTGATTGCTTGAACATATATATCATCTGCAAAGAAAGAGCCACTTCTTCCAGATAAGCAGTCAGGACAATCAGGAAGTCTGTCATTTCTGCCTGCATTATTTCATTTATCATGAAAAAAATTTCACTCTTTGTATCACTCATAATCTGCAACCAGTTTGACTCATACAAATGTTTGTAAATGAAAAATGAAAGCTGTAAAAAGTTGCTGAATTCAAATTTGTTTTCTGCCTCGCTGACTTTTCAACAAATATTTTTTTCTGCTGTTGACATCTACAGGCAATGATAATGAATTGAGGATAAGTCAGAGACCTGCTTCCCAAATTAGTTAAATGCCTGCCAGGCTCTTTCACCTCTTCATCCAGGCACCAGTAGGGACAGCCCTAGTCATCTGCCACTCAGGTAGGAGTTTGTATTTTGATAACTAAACTAATTAATTATACTAAACACTCTGGTGTAGCCCCATGCACGTTCTTATCTATGTCTGGCAGCGTGTCATGGAAAGA